GAGACAGACGGAGAAGCTGAACTCGTCGTCGCAGAAGGAGGAGAAGCTGATCTAGGGGGAAGAGAGGCGGCAGAAGCCAGCCCTGACAGACACTGTGTCCTCCGGGGACCGCGTTCCCCCTGGGACTGCCAGGCCTTCCCGGCCACCCCTGCCAGGGAGCGGGGCCCCGGTTCCTGTGTTTGGGGCTGCCTGGCAGGGGTGCCCATTGCCTGCTCCCCTTGAGCATACCCCTGCCCCTCGATCCTCTGCCCCACCAGGCCTTCCTCACCTCCAACCCCATCCTTTTGGGGGACCAGGAAGTGTCACATCATTGTTAACACCCAAGAGGACACCAAGGCTCTGGTTCCTTGAGTTCTGGGGCTTTCTCCTTCTGTCACAGCCCCAAACCCCATCTGCCATCCTGAAGGAAGCCTGTACCCTGTTGCCATGCCCCTCTTTGGTGCACACCTCTCCCCAGTGCTGCCCAGGCCCCTTCCCCTGGCGCCCTGACTCGCCATGCCCCAGGCAGACCTGCCATCCTTCCCTGGCCATCACCTCTGCCTCTGGCCCAGACCACAGTGGGACAACCCATGGCAGTGTTTGCATGAAATGGTGACTATCCATCCAGGGTGGTTTGCACCTTCCACTCGTCTCTCCCTGCCCAGCACTGGGGTCTGCTGAGAAGGGTCTGCAACTTTAGAGTATTTGAGTTTTGCCTCTGTTTGGCAAGGAGAGGCAGGGTTAGCCCACAGGCATGATACCCTGGTCCCACCTGGCACCTCAGGGTGACCCCAGCCCATGTCACTGGCTCCTGCAGTGCTGGCCACCACAGTTGGGTCTGACTCTGCTCCAAACACCAAAGCCCTGCACCCCTGTGAAGGGGCCAAATGGTGAATTTATTTACTGAATACATTGGTTCAGGCGAGACAATAACATCTGCCTAATGTATTTATTGAATCAAATTTGTCCATCTCACCCTCTGAGTGTTAAAGGGAATGACAGCCATGCACATACAACCTGATACACCCTGTAATGTGTACATACATCCCATATGAGCACATGCAGACCCACCCAGCCAAACCCATTCCATGGTACCATCACCTTCCCATCCCAGTAAGGCACTATTCCCCCTCTGAAAGCTGTAGGACAGTGACTTCCAGGTGACCCTTTCTGTCCTGCTTTCAGCTGTGAGCACCCTTTCCTCAGAGCTAATGTTTTTCTTCCGTCAAAGGTTAAGCACATCCTTCCAACCCCTGTTTGTCTTTGTCCCCCAGTCGTTTGACGTGTTAGATGATAGCTCATGGTGTGTAAATAATGTATATACAGTGAGAAAAGAATTCAGTATTGAGGTGTTTGAGATATGGAGCTGTAACAACTTCTAGTCATCCAGCATCTGTGATTTATGTGCCATTTTCTGTAAAGATATGAACAAGAATAAAACTAAACGGGAATACTGTGTATAAGTCTGGTCACCAATGTTCAAGTAGGGTGGTTCATCCAAAGCTGAGGGGGTTGGATGTCAGGTGGGTGATCCAGAGTGGCACAGAGAGAGGTCTGCACCTTCCTCCTCACCCAGGCATGGAGAAGACAGGGCTTGGGTGCTGCTCTCCCTTTGCAGTGTAGGACAAAGCTGAAAGGGATGTGCTTCTACTCGGAGCAGAAGTTACGGCATGCAACTGGTCAGAGAACCAGTCACTTCAGCATCCAGAACAGCCTTGGTGCTTTGAGTCACCTCGCATCTCGTGCCCTGGTGTCAGAGAGCTGGACAGACCTTCAGGTTCAGGCTCTCTGCCAGGAGCAGGCTGCAGGGCACGAGTGACCTGAGGAGCCGAGGCAACAGCCAGACGCTGCAAGTGCACAGGAGCTGGTTCAGAGGGGGGGGCACCAATGGGATTTCCAGCAAGGTGAGCTCCGATTTGAGAGCAGTGGGAGCCCATTCTGAGTTATCAGATAAGGAGTTGAGATTTGTCTGCCCTGCTAAGGGCATCTGGGGATGGTCTGAAGGAAAAACCTAATGTCTTGGTGGGGAAAATTGCTGAGGCAGAGCAGACATGCATAGCAAATAAGAGACTTGGCTGCTCGGGCTGACTGTGGAGGGGCTGTAAGCCCGAGGGACTGAGTTTCCCGCATAGCAAATAAGAGACTTGGCTGCTCAGGCTGACTGTGGAGGGGCTGTAAGCCCAAGGGACTGAGTTTCCACAGGGGGACAGAGCCCTTGTAGGTTCCCACCTAGCTCAGGGCAGATCTGATACAAAACAGGTGTGTGGTCTGGGATGAGTGCATCTGATGCCAAATAGTGCCTGTCTCCCATACTGGTGTCCATGCTGTTCACCAAACATATCAGCTCCATGGATCATGACTGGTGTTGCACTATGAGGAGCAAAGAGATCTACTAAGCATCTCAGCTCTGCTGTTGATCCCATTGGTGTGCCTGACTGAGAACAGCCCTAATTGCAGGGAGAGCCTTTTTCTGCTCTACGCAGGGCCTGAAGAAAAGGATAGCAGAAAAAAAAGCTGTTTGGAGGCAGGGAGGTGGGAGCTGCTGCAGTGGGTGGTCTCAGTGTGAGGAATTGGGCTGCAGTGTTTCATGCCAAACCACCCCACCCTGCTCCACCGTGGCCTCACTGAGTGCTCCCAGTGGACCTGCTGGCACAGCCAGGCTGCAGTGTTCAGGAGCAGGCAGAAAGCTCAGCCAGGCTTGCCAGAGGGGACAGCTCTTATAGCTGCCCAGCAGTGAGGTGGGATGGGATGTCACATCCCCCTCCTGCAGCTGAGAGTGACATGAGGAAAACCTTCCCTGGCCCACCACGGGCCAGTGTAGTGCTCTGCAGGAATCGGGCCTTAATTCTGGGAAGGGAATGGTCCTGTCACTCATGAGTAGCATGGGGGTCCCTAACTTTTACAGGTGACCTGCCCCAAGCTGCCTTTGTGTCCAGCCAAGGACTGGGGGGCTG